ACAAGTCTCAGGGTGGCGCAGGAGACCGCCCGTGCGAGCGTCTTCCCAGTAAAGCTTCCTCGGAAATATCAAAAACTGCGCAGTTGTGCACAACTATTTCATTTTCATCCGATCAAGTTAGAAGAGGTAGAAATCAAGGAGAACTCCTTGAAAAAAGGATAACAACCGAGAAGTCGTGAGGTATTGCGCGTCTTGTGCAACACGCATTTTAGATTAGAAAGACTCGAAGGTAGACGACATCTAGGTAGCATCTGGAATACTGAGAGGGTTTGGATGTATTAGTACTCTGCGGCTGGTCAATGCCAATGGATGATCAGTGCAGAAAAGAGAACTGAGCGGAAAGCTGTCTGTGAATAAGCGCCGTAGTAGCGGTTCTCAATCATAATCCACGTGCTCACACTAGCTCACGGAGGCATTATGTATAACAACGGTAAGAAATTCAAATGAATATATGGGCCTGGAGAAGACAATCGTAAATAATGAGAAGAAAAAGTGATCAAACAGATAGATATTCAAAAACGTATGTTGTTTGTACAATGCTGTGTTCTCAATGTCCCTTCTTATCAGACACCCAAAAAACATGACCACTGTGCGGCACACTTCGATTTCATAATTTTGCAGAACAGACAAGAAGTGTTGGAAAACAAGGCTTGTGTAAAAAATCAATGTGAAAAATCAAATTTTAGGAGCACTCATATATCAACGATGTACATCGAAGGCACCCATCGTGGCTTCATGTCGCAAGTAATGTGGGAACAGCACTTCTTTGTAATCAGATAAGATCATTCAAACACAAATTTATTACTTACTTACAACAAAAAGTGCGTTTACAAGACTGATAAATATCAAGAAAGTCGATAATAAACCAACACAACAATTCACTCATACTGACAGTTGGTTTCTGCGATACTCCAGTCACCAATGATGGTTTCCTGGAAAGACATCCTCGCGTTATTAAATTATTGAATAAAGTGTGCAGGGTACCTGTTTGCCCAAAACGACACCGTCGTCAGCATCAACGACACCCAGTTCGAAGTCATTATCTGCAGTACAGTCGTGATAAATGGTGAGTTCAAGCGTCTTACGAAGTACGGCCTCTGCCTCAGCACGGCTCAATTTGTCGCCCTATAAAGACAGTTGTGGTCAATTCTCATGATGAAAGACCTTCCCACAGAAAATTCCCTAATGGAGACCAACAACAGTAACCACATTACCTTCTTCCTCCATTCATCCTCCACGACTTGATTGAGAAGCATAGCGGCAATGCCGGTTGCAACGTGCTTTGTTTGGTACGCGACTCCCTATACGAAGTGCAATCATGAACTTCATGAACAAAAGACACTTAAAAGAGCAAAACAAACTTTCTGAGTGATGACACCAATGAATGGAGCACTTGTCTCCTTGTTGTTTTTCTCTT